CCCACATCCTGCCCTTTGCCTGGCCACAGAATCCCCCAAATACCCATTCCTGAAGCCAGACTGGCCTTAACCAGCAGGCAATGAAACTGTCCAGCAGAGGGCGCCTGAAACCCACAGCAGCAGAGGTCCTGCATCTTGACCGCCGCTTGGTTCTGGGCGGAAGGTATCTGTCCCCACGCTCTCACCCAGGTCCAGAGTAGAAGGACCCAGGCCCTGGAGGAGCGGTGGTGCTGGAGAGGCACAGTGGGCAGGGCCGTGCACCCCTCCTGGCCTGCACTCGGGGTCATGTGACCTTCAAGTCTGAGGTCAGTTTCACCTTTGCCCCTTGTCTGCACCTACCAAGTGCACGTCCACCTTCCCTTGACTTGAAGCATGGACAGGTGTGAGTTCAGGGCTCCAGGGAGCAGGAGGAGGCCTGGGCCGTCCATCCAGGCTCAGGTTCTTCCCTGCACACATCCAGTCGTGAGATCCTCAGCATTGCGTCCACAGGGCCTCTGGGACCTCTCGGAGAGGGAGGTGTGGTGGCCAGGGCGTGGACTTTGGTGTCCTGCACTGCAGCCGGGACGCATGGACGGGACCTCGGCAGAGGTCTGTCTCCTGGTCTGCGGGTGTGGTGACGTGGTCAGAGGGACCCATTGCGGCTCACAGAGCAGTGCCTGGCACAGGTGTGGGATGGTTTTCTTCCCTGCCTTGTCCACTAACTAAGGACACAGTCACTGCTGTCTTCTCCCCCAGCCCCTAGAAGACCAAGACCCCACCCTGGATTAATCTGGCCTCCACCATCGCCTCCTGCCCAGTCCACAGCACCGTTGTCCTCTGGGTGGCTCTGCCTCTACTGTCCCCCAACACCCCACGACCTCGCAGGCTCCTACTGCCCCCCCTCCCCAACCACGGCCCGGCTCCAGCCTGGCCCTCCGCTCCGTGGTCCACCTGGGAGCCAGGCTGATTCTTCTAACCGCAGGTCTGATCACCTTAGCCCCCGCTTCACGCTCACTGGTGGTTTCCCAGGAAAGCCGGGGTTAGGCTCAAGCCCCTGCACAAGAGAGCTGGGGCCTTTGGTGATCTGTCCCCCTCGCCCCCTTCCCAAGGCGGGGTCCCAGGCAGGACACTGGACCGCCTCCTTGATAGCCTTTAGGTCAGTCCACCAGGGAAGTGAGTTTTTCCCCGTGAGTGGAAAGGGCACAGCCCTCTCTCTCTCTCTCGGACTGTGTCTGCGTGGAAGCGACCTGTTTGTCAGAAAGTGTGTTTTCCTGGGCACTTTGTCGCCCTCAGCGAGAGGCTGACGTCACTCCCGCGCCCTCCTTAAAGGATGACTGTCCCTTCCACGGGTTCGGGATCAAAGTCTCAGTGTCCATAAAGAGCCTCCACCTTTCTGACCCAGCCCAGGGCTGGCCGCGTGACGGCCACGCCTCCGGGGACCGCAGCCGTTGCGGTGAGAACGCAGATGAGTCAGGCCTGGGACACGGGAGCCAGTGAAGTCTCCTGCCTGGAGGGGGGTCCTCATCTCTGCCCCTCACAGGGCTGACCCCCTTCAGAGGCCCCCAGAAGGCTGCCGGCTGTCGTCCCTTCGTTCAGCCCTGACACCCCCACCGCCAGACTGTTTCCTGGCCTCCCCACGCAGGTGCTCGCAGCGTGGGGACCCGTGCTCCCTGCTTTGTGACGCTCCTGTCTCGCTCACCTCAGCAGGCGAATCTGGAAGCACGAACAGGGCGCCCTGACTGTGACATAGGGGGGATTAAAGGGGAGGCAATTTGCCATAAAGCCGTTTGTGGGCGCGCCAGACCTCCCGAGAGACATGAAAGAGGAGGCAGACGCTTGCCTGTTCAAAAGCTCCCCCGGGGAAGGCGACAACCACAAGTGCAGGTCGCCACAGGTGTGCCCTGCGGGTGACTCACGCATCAGAGACAGGGAGGCCGTTGGTGACGTGATTTTCCGAAATGGTGACCAACTCTTGGTTCCCGTCCAAGTGACACAAAGAACAACCTTCCCTCGCTTTCCATGGTGGCTGCACTCCTGGAAAATCCAGTGACTATTAAAACTGAGCAGGAAAAAAAATGCATTTGTATGTAAAATGAAGTGAGATCCCAGACAGGTAGTTCCCAGCCGGGCTCTCGCCTCGCGGGAGCCCAGAGAGGCAGCCGGAGGGACTGGCCGGCACCTTGCAGGACATCCGGCCTTCCTGCCCACTGCCCTCCAAGTGCCAGCAGCTCCCACGCGCCTGCCTGGTGGGGACACATGTCCAGCCCTGGTCCAGCAGGGCAGCCACCCCCGCCGCCGGGTGTGCACTCCCTGGGGCGGTTTTCTCCTCTGCTTCCTGGGGTCTCCCTTCCTTACCTGGTCCTGTGGCCACACCACCGCCCACCGAGAAACTAGGGACTACACCTCCCAACGTGCCTGTTCCTGTGGGAAGCAAGGAGCCTAGTTCTCCCCCAGCACCCCCAGTTCTGCCTTAGTATACAGTAGACACTCAATACATGGTTTCCAAGGATGTGACTCGTGGTAGTGGCTCCCCACCCTGTGCTCACCACTGCCCTGGGAAGTGAGCACTGTTCTTATTCCCATTTTTCAGATGTAGAAACTGATACTCAGAGAGGTCAGGTAACCAGCCCAGGGTCACACAGGGAACTCAGAACCCATCTGGGCCTTCAGATTCTTTAAAATGTGACCTTCTCATCTCCGTTACTGCACGGCTCAGCACCGTCCCCAGGGGCTCCCGCAAAACGTCTCAGCACCTGCTGAGACGTGCAGCCGTGCACAGACCCGCTCCCCACTTCCTGAGCACAGCCAGCACCCCCACCTCGTTGCCTTTGCCTCTCTTTGCCCTGTGTCTGGTGTCCACGTCCTCAGGACCCAGCCCCCGTGCCACCATCCCCCAACTCCCACATCAAGGCCCTGTCCCTGCCTTGTGCCTGTGTTCCTACCCACCTGGGACAGTAGCAGCTGGCAGGTGGGCCTCTAGCCCAGGGCCCCAGCTGTGGCCCCTGCTCAGTGACCACATGCTCCACCCCATGTGCTTGTTGCGCTCTGAGTGTACAGCGCACCTGCAGATGGCCCTGGGAGCAGAGGCGCAGGCCTGGACACCTTCCTGTCCCTCATCCTGACGTCGCTTCACAGGCTGTGGACATCGGTGGGGCTGGAAGTGGGAGAAGGCTCAGTGTCCAGTCTCCAGCACTGAGCCAGCCCTGGTCCTGCTTGCCCAGGACAGGGTCCAGCTCTGTGGGCTTCCACACACTTACAGTTAGAAGCAGATGTGGAGTCAGCTTGCTTTGGTTTCGTGGGTGAAGGGCAGGCTGGGGCCTTAGTGGGCCCCTCGACATCAGGAGACAAAAGGCTAGTGTCTTCTTGTTGGGTGACCCAAGAGCTTCAAGTGACATTCGAGCCTCAGTTTTCCCCATTTGTAAACTGAAAATCTGGGAGCTGATTATCTTCAAGGTCTTCGTGGGTTCTTTTTCAATGAATTTTTAAATTCTTATTTTCATTTTGTAAGGTGAAGAGACGGAGTTCTCCCATCCACTGGTTCACTGCCCACATGTTCTCAGCAGGCCAGCCTGGGTCAGGCCAGGGACTAAATCTAGTTGGCAGAGACCCAAGTACTTAGCCATGACCACTGCCCCCAGGGTGTCTGTCGGTGGGAAGCTGAAATGGAGGTGGAGCCGGAGCTTAAACCTTGGCACTCTGACATGGGATGCATGTGGCCCAGATGGCAACTCTTAACTGCTCCACCAAATATCCAGCCCTCTTGTGCTTTTTATATTTTAGGATTCATCCAGAAAATATTTTCTGAGGACCTCCTACATGCCCTGAGGGCAAGCTGCATTCCAGAACAGAATTAAAATGCATCCCATCGGGCCGTGCTGTGGCATGGCAGTTAAGCTGCCACCTCAGATGCCAGCATCCCACAAGGGCACCAGTTTGAGACTCGACTGTTCCACTTGCAGCTCCCTGCTATGGCCTGGGAAAGCAGCGGAAGATGAACCAAGTGCTTGGGTCCCTGCATCCACATGGCAGGCCTGGAAGAAGCTCCTGGCTTTGGATTGGCTCAGCTCTGACCATTGCGGTCATTTGGGGAGTGAGCCAATGGATCTCTCTCTCTCTCTCTCTCTCTCTCTTTCTTTCTGTTAACTCTACCTTTCAAATAAATACAAAATAAATCTTAAAAAAAAAAAAAAACATCCTATCCAAAATCCAGATCCCCGCTCCCTGGCCTCTGCCCCCCACCTAGTTGCTGTCCTTACATTGAACAGCAAACACCTCCTACCCCTGCAGCTGCCTGAGTCCACATCCTTTGCCATGTCTCTGCCACAGCGCTATGCCCAGAGCATGCAGTAGGCACTCAGCAGTTGCTGAGTGAGTGGCCTGTTTTCCACTTGGGATCCATCGTACTTACCAGCCGCCCAGGGTCACAGGACAGGCCCGGGGAGAACAGCCTTCCGGGAGTGGCTGCAACGAGCAAGACATTCCGGTCACCTCTCCTGAGGTTCCCAGCACCCGCCGCAGACAGATCACGCAGTGTCACCTTGCAGATGGTGAGTGGCCCGCCCAGGGCTCTGCTGGTGGCCAGGCTGCTGCCCCTGGCCTGGAGCTTCCTGCTCCCTGGAGGGCCTGCTGATTCCCTTGCTCCTGTGTGTTGCACACGCAGTTCCCTTGGCCTAGAGAAGCCTTCCCTGCCCTCCCTCCCGTGCCGAGCCCGTCCCAGTTCTTTCCAAACCCAGCAGAATGAGCTACTTTGGCTCTGACACACCGCCCCTCCCCCCAACCTTGAACCCCTGCCCCTTTAGGCTCAGCCAGGCTGGGAGCTCCGAGGGGCAGTGCTGAGCCCCAGCACCTGGCTGCTTCAGTCCCCTGAGCTTGCCGCCCATCTCGTCTCGTGGGGGCTGCATGCACGTCAAGGTCAGGGCCAGTGCCTGATGTCTGGAGCAGCTGCAAAGTGCCTGGGAACCCGGGAATCCCTGCTCCTCCTCCAGTGCTAAACGCCCAGGATTTTTTTTTTTTTTTTGCGGTCATTCCACGTCAAAGCTGTTTAAAATGGGTGTCTGGCTCTCCTGGTAGGGGATTTCCTGCCCCATCATGATCTCTTTATATTTACTTCTCTGTTTAGAACGGTTAAGGGAGAACTGACGCACCTACCCTAAGTGGACAAGTCGGCAGTGCACAGCTCCGTGCGTTTGTCATGCTTACTCAGCAAAATCAGCGCTGAGGTCAAGCTGTAGAACTTGAACTTGACCCCCACCCTCCTAGTCATGCTGTCCAGGAGGCGCTCAGGTTGGTCTCGCTGTGGTTTGTTCGTTTTTACTATGGCAGTGTGTTCTTCTCACTAACGTGCTGCCGTCCAGTATTCCCAGGTCACGCACTTGGGTTGTTTGCTGTTTGGGACAACTAAGAATAAGACTTCTGTGAATATTCTTTTTTAACAAATTTATTTATTTATTTGAAAGTCAGAGTTACAGAAAGAGAGAGAAACAGAGAGGTCTTCCATCCACTGGTTCACTCCCCAAATGGCCACAAGGGCTGGGGCTGGGCCAATCCAAAGCTGGGATCCAGGAGCTGCTTCTGGGTCTCTCACACGGGTGCAGGGGCCCAAGCACTTAGGCCATCTTCCACTGCTTTTCCAGGCCGTAGCAGGGAGCTGGATCGGAAGTGGAACAGCTGGGACTCATGTGTGTTAAATTTATATGGAATAGGGAGTGTAATCTATTACATTACAAAAAATATTAAAAGGGGAACAGTCTTTTGGCAGGATGGTTAAGACGCTGCTTGGAAAGCCTGCATCCCACATCAGGTGCCTCGGCTGAGGCCAGCTTCCCGCTCGTGCGCACCCTGGGAGGCAGCAGGTGGCACCTCAAGGCCCTCCCCTGTGGGAGACCCAGACTGCGTTCTTGGCTCCTGGCTTCAGCCTGGCCCAGCTTTGGCTATTGTAGGCATTTAGGAAGTGAACCAGCAGGTAGAAGGTCTCTCTCTCTCTCTCTCTCTCTGCCTGTTAAATACAATGAAAATAAATGAAATTAATTTTTTTTTTCCAAAAGGTACTGCATTGGTTTCCTGGGGCTGCTGCAAGAAGTTTCCACAGCATGATGGATTAAAACAAGAGGAGTTCCCTCTCTGGTGGCTCCGGCGGCCAGAAAGCTGAAATCTAGGGGTGAGTGGGGCCGAGCTTCCCACAGAACTTTCTAGAGGCTCCACTCCCCGCTACCCCCAGCTTCTGGTGGCTGCAGGCGTCCCTGGGCTCCAGCTGTGTCACTTACAAGGCCTTCTCCTCCTCCCTGGGTGCCTGGTGACGACGCCTGTTGCTAGATCAGGGGCCACCCTGACTCAGGACGATGGCACCGGACACCCCTAAACCCGGTCATGTCTGCATGGGCTCTTTTTGCCAAAGTCACACCCACAGGTCCAGGGGACAGCACTTCATCCACCACGGGTAGCAAATGCAGCCCAGGGAAGGAGATGCCCTCCTGCCCTTGTCTCCCAGCCACTCGCTGCTCACGATTGACTTGCAGGCTCCTTCCAGAACGGGCTTTGCATCCAGAGGAAGGCGTGGGTGGGTGTCTGCGGGCCTCAGTCTCCTGCAAATAGGAGCTTGCTCTTCGCTCCCCTGCATTTGTCTTTCTTGCTGAGCACGTCTTCGTGACCATCAGTTGTCAGTCACCTACAGCTGCCCCTCCATCTCAACAGTGACACTGGACCTCATTGTGCGAACGAACCAGTGGTTATTCATTTATATTTATATTTAATCAAAAGGCAGAGAGAAAGAGAGAGAGAGAGGGAGAGGGAGAGGGAGAGGGAGAGAGAGGGAGATCTCCCATCCTCTGGTTCAGTCCCCCAAATGCCTTTAATAGTCCAAGCTGGATCAGGCCAAAGCCAGGAGCCAGGAGCTCCATCCAGGTCTCCCACGTGGGTGGCAGAAGGCCAAGTACCTGGGCCAGCAGCTGCCGCAGTAAGCTGGGAGAGAAGCGGGTGGACACTTACACCAGGCTCTCTGGCGGGGGCCGCGGGCCTCCCAGGCAGTGTCTTCACTGCTGCTCCACATCACCTGCTCCATGAACCTGAACCAGCTTTTAAATTTACTTAGTTGTTTTTTTTTTTTAAAGATTATTTATTTGTTTATTTGAGAAGTAGAGTTACAGTCAGAGGGAGAGACAGAAAGGTCTTCCATCCGCTGGTTCTTTCCCTAAATGGCCACAACGGCTGAAGCTGGGCTGATCCCAAGCCAGGAGCCAGGAGCCTGGAGCGGGTACAGGGATCCAAGCACTTGGGCATCTTCCACTGCTTTCCCAGGCCACGGCAGAGAGCTGGATCAGAAGAGGAGCAGCCGGGACTCGAACCAGCGCCCATATGAGATGCTGGTACTGCGGGTGGGATTAATCTGTGCCACAGCACTGGCCCCTAAATTTACTTTTTCTTTCTTTCTTTCTTTTTTTTTTTTTTTAAGATTTATCTATCTACTTGAAAGTCAGAGTTATACACAGAGAGAAGGAGAGGCAGAGAGATAGAGAGAGGTCTTCCATCTGCTGGCTCACTCCCCAGATGGCCACAGTGGCCAGAGCTGCACTTATCATAAGCCAGGAGCCAGGAGCTTCCTCCAGGTCTCCCACGTGGGTGCAGGGGCCCAAGGACTTGGGCCATCTTCCACCGCTTTCCCAGGCCATAACAGAGAGCTGGATAGGAAGTGGAGCAGCCAGGGTGTGAACCGGCACCCATATGGGATGCGGGCACTGAAGGCAGCGGCCTTACCCTCCACGCCACAGTGCTGGCCCCTAAATTTACTTTCAAAAACTGTGTTTCTTTGAAAGCAAAGAGACAGAGCTGGAGAAACAGACAAACAGATGGAGAGCTCCCATTTGCTGGCTCACTTCTCACATACCCACACTAGCAGGAACTCAGTCAGGGTCTCCCACGTGAGTGGCACTTGAGCCGCCCCCACAGCCCCCCAACATGAGCATTTGCAGGAGAGTGGAATCAGGCGCAAAGCTGGGACTCAGTGAAGGTACTCAGACATGGGAGGTGGGTGTCCCCGGGGTCCTGTAACCACTGCGCCAAGCGCCGCCCTCAGTGCCCGCCTCCTGGTGACACTTGCGTTCTTTCCAGTCACTGGGTGTCCCCATCAGTGCCACAAAGCCCGTTTTTGTGAGCTGTGTCTCTGTGCATGCAGGAACCTAGAATGCCTACCTTCTCTTTGCGGATTTTAAAAAGACAACATGATGGGATTAAAAACTATTTTTGGCCTTTTCATCGTTGTTGTTTAGATTGATTTTATTTATTTGAAAGACTTACAGGGGCTGGCACCATGGCTCACTTGGTTAATCCTCCGCCTGCGGTGCCGGCATCCCATATGGGCACCGGTTCTAGTCCCAGTTGCTCTTCTTCCAGTCCAGCTCTCTGCTGTAGCCCAGGAGGGCAGTGGAGGATGGCCCGAGTGCTTGGGCCCTGCACCCGCATGGGAGACCAGGAAGAAGCACCTGGTTCCTGGCTTCGGATCGGCGCAGCGCCAGCCGTAGCGGCCATTTGGGGAGTGAACCAATGGAAGGAAGACCTTTCTCTCTGTCAAATAAAAAAAAAGTTACCGAGAGAGGTAGAGACACACACAGAGGTCTTCTGGTTCACTGCCCAAATGGCCAGAGCCAAGCCAATCCAAAGCCAGGAGTTTCTTCCAGGTCACCCATGTGAGTGAAGGGATCCAAGGACTTGACCATCTTCTGCTTTTCCAGGTGCTGAGTAAGTAGGGGGCTTACTTGGAAACAGAGCAGCCGGGACGTGAACTGGCCCATATGAAATGCCGGTGCTGCAGGCAGGGGCTTTAACTGTGCCACAGTGCTGGCCCCCTATTTAAAACTTCTGAAATTCTTCCTTTATTCTCCCCCACCCACCACTCTTGATGATCCTAGTCTCATCCTCAGTCGGAAGCATCTGGCACATTTGCAGGCACAAGGCACACATTTTTATTCTTTTCCATAAAACACCCCTTTTTAATTTGAAAGGCAGAGAGAGAGAGAGAGAGAGAGAAACTTGGATTTGCTGGTTCGCTCCCTACATGCCCACAGGGCCAGGGCTTGTGTCAGGCTGAAGCCAGGAGCCAGGAGCTGTGTCCTGGTCTCCCAGGTGGATAGCTAGAGCCCAGACATCTGTTGCCTCTCCAGGCACATTAGCAAGAATCTGGATCAGAAGCAGAGCAGCTGGGACTCAACCCAGCACTCTGGTGTGGGATGCCGGCGTCGCAGGCAGCACTTAACCCACTGCACCACAATGCCGGCCCCGGGATACCATTTTAACCCCAAGAGTTGTCCATGCTTCTCCGGAGGCATCCAGGTCACGTCTTCACAGCTGCACGCACAGGCCATGACGTACAAAGCTAAGCCAGCCCCTTACTTAGACCCCTGGACTTATTTTCTCTTCCAGAAAACACTCAGAGAGCATTTTCTTTCCAACCGCTTTCTAATGAGAAAAAAGAGGAGGGTGATTTCTTTAGAGTCGATTTCCAAGCACGGTGTCATTCAGTCACGGCTAGGACAATTTCACAGAATTAACTAGGAGTCGCCAGATCGCTTTTCCAGCCCGAGTCCGCTGGCTCCTGTCTGTCTCCCAGCCCTGAGCCAGCACTGAGCGTCAGCCGCTCACCTGGGGCTCCCTGGCCGACGCGCTGACCCCTCTCTCTGATTCTCCGTTTTCCCCATGAAGGCCGTGACGGAGTCTGACGGGACTGGTTTTGAACCCTGGCTCGGCAACCCGGCCTGTGTGTGTTCTCAGACCTTGTTCCCTCATCTTGCCAACTGTCCCCACTTCCTCCAGACAGAGAGGTCCCTGGCATGCAGGTCGTCAGTGCTAGAACCAGGTAAGGCCCAGGGACACCAGGACAAGCTGGTAAGAGGTGGAGGAGTGACCCGTACCCTGCTGTGTGTGGACTGCTGCTCAGGGCACACGGCAAGCCGGCAATTACCAACGTCAAGGGCCCCAGAGCCCCCCAACACACACATACACACCCAAACCCGGGCCTGACGTCGGGCCCGGCACGCACCAGCTTCTTACTGAACAGACGGGAGTGAATGAGTGGATGGTGCGGCTCCTTCTTCCCCCTCAACTCTCGCTCCCTGGCCCCGGT